CCGAATCTTTGTCCCCTTCACTGACAGGTCAGACGACCTGTAGGGGATATTGTTCAGAGGGCTGGGTGTGTGCTAAAATGCGAAGATAGAAAAGAAACTAGGGCATGCGCTATTCTCCAACCAACTCATACTTCTCTACTTTTGAAATTGATTCTGGTTTTTCTGTGTGGTTATAAAAAAACAGTATATACAAATCAGGGCTGAATGTAGGATTTTAAACTGTGAGCTAAATAAAATTTGTGCATCTTGATCCTCAGTTGTTTAACCTTATTTTCCTCAATTCCTACACTTGACATACCTTGGAAGATTGAATAGTAAGGAATTATGAAGAAATATAAGCACACTGTAATTAATGCTTTACTGTGTGTTATTTTATTTTCTAGTACTCTCCACTGCTGAAGAAACTGTATTGTCAGATTGCAAAAACATGTCCAATCCAGGTGAAACTGACCTCACCACCACCTCCAGGTAGTGTGGTGCGTGCAATGCCGGTCTACAAGAAGGCTGAGCATGTGACCGAAGTGGTGAAACGCTGCCCCAATCATGAACTTGGCAGAGACTTCAATGATGGTGAGTGGACGTTACCAAAATGCAATTAATCTCTGTCTTCTTGTCCACTGCAGAACCCTTCGGTAGTCCCTGATGGGCAGTAACACCAATTAGAAAATTTAGACTACAGATATACTCTTTCAAATCAAGCCATCTTGGGTTTAAGGCTATACTAGATTTTGGAACTTTCCTGTTATCAGAAAAAAATTTGATGCATTATTTGAGATCAAAATGCCATAATCTTGTAAATAGGGGACAAAGAAAACCAATGATCTGATTGCAAATCAAAATAGTTTGTATGTTATAGGGTATTCAGTTGAAGTAGACACAGAGATAGAAGAGGGAAGGGGTCACATTATCGATCAGGGTATCAATTATATAGTGAACAGGGGTGATACCTTGGAAGGATCATCAAATGTGACCATATGTGCAGAAATAAAATTCAGAAAAGGGGCAAACACACTGTTGAGTGCATACTACAGATCCCAAAACAATGAGGATCAAATATGTAATCAAATTTCAGAGAAGTATAAGAATCATAAAGCTGTAATATTAAGGGATTTTAACTACCCAAATAGTAACTAATGTTTTAACGTTCAAGGTAGGGAACTACTTAAATTCCATTCAGGGCAATTTTATTTGGCCAGTACGAAGAAAGCCCATCAAGGAGGGCAGCACTGGACCTAATATTTGGAAATGAACCTCAGTGAATGGAAGGTATATCAGCAGGGGAGCACTTTGGAGATAGTGATCATAGCTTGGTCAGATTTAGGATAATTTCTTCTTTTCATTCACAGGATGGGAATAGGATAGTTAAGAAGGTTTATGGGACACTTGCTTTATCAATCGTGACATAGAGTATAAGAACAAGGAGGTAATGTTGGATAAAAACCGAAAGAACTGCAGATGCTGTAAATCAGAAACAAAAACAGAAATTGCTGGAAAAGCTCAGCAGGTCTGGCAGCATCTGTGGA